GGGCCGGGCCCTCTGGACACCCCGAGCCGAGGCTTCTACAGGCGCCTGGTCAGGGACACATGACGCCGCCAGTCTGCGTGAGGAGGCAGGCAGCATTCTAAGGCCCCTTTATAAGAAAACTTCTGTTATCATGTTCCGGTTGCTATGGCAATGGGATTCCTTATGAATCCAGGATGAAATACAATATCATTTAGGGATCATTAGCATGTGTGAAAATCATCCTGAACCCCGAATTGTGGCTTCAGTTCCCCCGCAGCTTTGATCCAGGGCTCCTCAGACCGAAGCAGGGTGCTTCTCAGTGGAAGTCAGGGGCACGGAGCGATGTGGGAGAGGCGTATTTCCCTCTTCCTGTGACAAGATCAGGCGTGCGTTTTCCCCAGCACCCTGTACTACCAGGAGAATTCCAAGATGTCTGGTGGGTTCACTGCTCAACTCGGTATAGTTTGTGTTGGAAAAGTTGTCTTGCAACATTGCATTCCCATTTCTGTGCTAGTCGGCCTGCCCCTTGCCCTTCACCGCACAGGGTTGTATTTTGCCAAATGATGCAGTACCATGGTTGGGCAGTTTTCCAAACGGTCCTTGAAATTATGGGAGAGGAAAGCCTGCTGGAGGCTTGGTTAAAAGGTCCCTTTGACCTCCTCAGCCAAAGTGGGTTTGCTGGTGTAAACTTTGGTTTGGTGTGTCAGAGGCAAGTCTCTAAGCTTGGTAGCAGAAAATTATTTCCATTTATGGGGCGGGGGGGGGGGAATCGAATAAGCTCCGGGTTTGCTAATCCTTTTCTTTTCCTTGTTCCTAAACAGACATAAGATCTCAACATTCTGTTGCAAACTAGCAGAGCAGATTTTGTGTAGTTACTCTGTTGCTGTTCTTGTTACTTTGAATTGTGCTGTTTTAAGAATTTAAATGAGGCTCCACTTTCCAGGGGGCATTTTTATACTTCTGCGAGTTCTTTTCTGCCCTGCCAGGGAAGCTGCTCACACCCCTGGAGGTGCCAGGTCAGCCCAGCTGGCAGGGTGTGAGATCCCACCGCAAGGCTGAGCTGTCCGCAGGCTGGGAGTTGGGTCTCTGCCCCAGCTGCTCCCACGGTAAGGAGGGAGCCGCAGGGAGCGTAGGCTGAGGAGGCAGTGGGGCAGGCGAGGGTCTTCAGCACTCCTCCGACCTGGCCCATTGGGCCTCACTCACCATCTGTGAGATGGGAATGACACCGCCTGCTCACAGAGTATCGTGATGAAGGGGGCCGCTCCTGCGCAAGCCGCCTCAGGTGGAATGCATGGGGATGGCGCACGGTGTCGCTGCAAACAGTGGACCTGCTCAAGGGGCCCAGGCAGGTAGCTGTGAGGCCTCTCCGCACACCTCAGGGTGTGGAATAAAACGTGGGGAGGGAAGCTGCCCCCTTTGCCTGAGGCGCAAGAAGCACTGTGGCCAGCGTTTGACCTAGGAACGGTCCTATGGCATCGTCACCTTCTCGGGCCAGCCCTGTCTTTGAAAAGAAACCCAGTGAGTCACCCAGGCTCACCTCGTGAGTCAGCAGAGACACAAGTGGGGAAGCAGGTGTCCCCGAGTCCAGTCTGGGACACACAAAAGCGGGGTCAGCAGAGCCTGAGCACAGGGTCCGTGTGGCTGAGAGGAGGGGATGGTTTACAGAAGGTGCCAGTGTCGGAGGTGACATTCAGGGAGCATCTTGCGGCACAAAGGCAGGGTGGCCGGGTTGAAAAGTACAGATTGGCCTCGTGCACTAAGCAAGGTTGTTGGAACTTGAGCTGGTGGGTGTCACATAAGATGGTCCGACTTTCTCATCTCCATATGGGGACCTGACCCCCTTAGTCCTACTCACAGCCACACCCGGAGCCCAGGATGTGTCCCTGGCACCCGCAAATGGCATGGTGATGCACCTCCGCAATCCCAGTGCTCTAGGAGGCCGAGGCAGGGGGATCATAAGTTCAGTCTTAGCCTGGGCAACTTAGTGAGGTAGGGGGACCCGTAAAAACCAAAAAAAGGGGGGAAAGGAAAATGGAAGAAGGGACAAGGGGAGGGAGGGAGGGATGAAAAGGATGAGGGAGAGAGAAGAGGATGAAGGAGTGAGGAAAAACAGAGGGAGGGACGGAGGGAGGGCAGGTGGGTTAGAGACAGAGCTCAGTGCCAAGACCCTCATTTCAGTCCCTGGTACTATTAAAAAAAAAAAAAGAGGAGGAGGAAATCAGCACCCACAGCTTCAGGGCTGTTTGATTCAAGTCCAGCAAAGCCTATTCCCAGCAGACCTGATTGCTTCCTCCTTCCCTTCCCCTGGGTAAACATCCTGCTGTGGAGCGAGGGGTCTGAAGCCAGGGGGTGAGAGAGACCTCTTGCATCTTCTGGCTGTGTCCCAGCCCTGCCCATCAGCAGGGAGCCTGGCTGCATCTGTCTTCTGGGAAAGTCAGCTCAATCATCCCAAACCCCATTGCCTCTGGGTAGCACAAAGCAAGACCAGTGTTTTCTACAGAAGGTCGGCGGAGCCCTTGGGACAACCCCTCCTCTGCCTGGCCTGGCTCTCGGAGCTGGCACTGGCTTCTGCTTTTTCCCCCAGACTCCTTCCGCTGTCTTTCCAGTTGCCCTTGCTTCCCTGGTTCTGCCCACACTTCTGCCCAGGGCCACCTCCTGGGCTCCAGTCCTTGGAAAGGGTCAGCCCCTTCCTGGCCTTCATTTTCAGCTCCGTGGAGAGGTTGGTCACTTTCCCCCAAGCCATCCAGCTTCAGATACTTATTGAGTGCCCCCGAGGGTGGCAAGGCAGTGCCAAGACCTGAGGTACCAGTATCATCTGGATGCCAGGCCTGACTTCTGGAGACTGACAG